ATAATACTATAACATAATAACATACATATATATATAATAATAATAATTAATATACTACTACTATATATACTATATATATATATATATATATATGTGTGTGTGTGTGTAGTATATATATATATATATATATATATATATATGGTAGAAAATGTAGCAAATATAGATCACTTAAAAAATCAAAAGGCTGGTTCCAGCGTTGCATAGCGAGGAGTCTGTTTAAAATCGCAACTTATTTTGGATATATATGTATGTGGTGATATGTGCATAACAAAATGGAAACTTGACACAGCAACTTTCATTTTGAAGCGTCGCTTTACGCACATTGATGCGATAGGTCTTAATAATTTGGGGTGTAGTATCTAACCCACCCAACGATCGACAAAACACCACGTCAATACAAGACGGAATATACCTTAAACTTGAGCTCTTGCGTATAATTGGCAATAGCGCCGGGAAAACGTGTTCGTTCCTTCTCGGTCGTCGATGTTGACATACATCTTGACTGCCTACATGTTCGTAGCCATGTCTGTGTGGCGCTACACTTTAGCAGGGTGTTATTGTGTAATACGTTGGTGCGTGCCAAACGTGACCCGGCTGCACTCAACATACTGCTCGATAAATTCCCTTTTAAAATGTTTCGACAACAATGACTGTGCTATGAAGAGAAATGTATTTCACAAATTGAATTACCTCCCTTTTGTATGATCACGTACGTTATGCGCCTCGCAATTGATATCACTCATTTGTAGAATTCGCATCGTCTTGTGTTGGTCCATTCGACCATTCAGTCATTCACGGTGCAGAACGGCACGTCGTAGAGTCGCAGACTGTGCAATCTCTCGGATCACACACGTAAATATTCGAAGCTCGTCCAATCAAAGCTTGTACAAAATTATGTCAGATCTTTCTTCTTTTTTTGGAATATAAATATAATATTATAAAAATACGACTGCCCAGGGCCCCAGAGCCCAGGCCCTAGAGTGTCCAGTTGTCCACTGCTGACTGTTAAAGTGGATACCCTACAAGCACCCGGTTCCATACTCCATAGTCCCATACTACCACTGCCTCCGAGGCTCATCGGTCCCACGATCAGGCCTTCCGGCCCCAAAGCTGCACAGTTCCCAATTTCCGAATCCGGCAATTCGTCACAAGGCACCGAGTTAAATGAAAACAAGGCCAAGCCCAACTAAATAACACAGAGCCCAAGTCGTATTGACATGTCGTATGTAACAGATTAAATGGTATTTTGATGATTTCTCTTCTTTTTTTTTCTTCTAAACAAATAACAAACAAAAACAAAACTTATGATATTTACATATTGACATAAATATATAAATACATAAATATTTAAAATATTTATGTATGTATTTTTTAATTGACAGAGTAAATATGTACAGAATATCATTGCTTTTTTTTTTTAAACAATATTTTAGGAGGCTATGGTATGTAAGACGGACGATTTTAATTTAGGGTTTAGGGTTCTTTTAATAAAAAATACTTGTATGTATTTTACAAATGTACTAAATTTTAAGGTACAGGTTTTCTGTCTGTCCGTCACGCTCCTAATTCTAAAAAAGCTATAAAAAATATACCAAACCGAAACACTTTTTTGAAATATATAATATTATCCCTAATAATTACCCTTTGAAATTGTCAGTATGGTGGAGGATTTGAGGACATCCTTAGACCTTACGCTGAACCAAAAGGATGAGCCTCGTGGACTGTGTGCGACTTAAGTATTAACTAAAGCCATCTCACATTGTTCTCAACATGTGTGTGTGTGTTGTTAATTCACTATTTGAGTGCACGCCCGCCTACCGGTAAAGTGCAGCCGCATAATAGTTTCGTCTTGGGCCAGAGCGCCTTGCACGCCCCAACGCTCCTCACAACTCCATCCGGCTTATACGCGGAGGAGTGTGGAGCGCAGGTCTATCTTAAGCAAACATGCGGACCCATGTAAGCAAACTGCTGCCGCGCATGGGTTGCATCAAACTTAGCATCCACCACAGGCCGGGTACTCTGGTTAGCATGCACCCTTCATATTTGATCACCAAACATAGTCCCCGCCGCGCAAAGCAACAAGCGACGCTGAGGAAATCATATACGGTGCTGACACAGCTGTGCTGCCCGCTGTACAGTCGCAGTAATCTATCCCACGATAGACGTCAAAATGCTACTCATTCCGTTAATGAACATGTGTCGCGCCCCCACGCATGACATCGTAACTCAGGCTGACGCCTCTTCGCTGGCAAAAGATTCAATGATAGGCGCCGTTATAGACGCCCGCCATTCCGCCATCTTCTTTACCAATTAGTAAAGGGACGTTGACCGCTTCCAATGCACTTTTGATGTTTGACAGCTGCGACGGCGCTATCATCATCTTCCATACCAACCTGAGCCCAGTAACCGTACCCACCGTGAGCTTACACTCTTGTGGCTTTCCAATACCCGCCCAGTGCTCTTGGAACTACTAAATAAGAAGCTAATCCGCTCTTTCCACTTCTTCCCTCTGGGCGACGCGCGTAGCAAGTAGCAAAACTCTGCTGCTCCGCTGCTGGCGCATCCACTAACTTTGACTCTCGAATCAACCCTTGCTCACTACCACTTTTAAGTTCGATAGCTATATAATTCTTCGGTACCTCTTAAGCTGCAAACGATGACTCGTCGGCTCTTTACAACTGACACTCTCCTTGATTGTGTGTCGTCAAAACTTATCCACTTTTATATCCGTACATGGCTGCGACCACACTGGGCATCCAGGCGTGACATGGATAACCATAGAAATGACCTGCACATCTATCTTGAACGGTGGAACATCCAATATTGCTTTATTCGCCGCAACGTTCTACGCTGCCTGCGTCTGTGCAATTTTTGCCTTGCTCAAGTCCAGGTTGATCTTCTCAGATGCCCCCGACAGCCTTTGATTCTAGCAACTGAGCTACTCTATCCTCCAACATGGACAACTGCGGACCAAAATAAGGGCGGCCCGTTGCCTTTTTATTTGGCGCTGTGTCTGTCCGTCATCGACGACACCAAGGAATTATAAGACTGCGTAAATACCTGCACCAATCGTACTCATGACACCTGCTCAGTCGGCATTGCCGCCTTGTATATTCAAGCCTTGAAGATCTTCACCATCACCTCTGCACGATCGTTCCCTTGGTATTGCGCCACCTTCGTGAGGTGCAATTTGATTCCTTCATCTGTCATCAACTGCATCAGTGAACCACGTGAAAAATTCTTCTCAGAAAGGTGACGCACGTACTGTCATGCTCGGCCTGGACAGCATGCCGTAATCCTGTCCAGGAATATACGAAGGTCACTGTCCGCTTCACCTTTGGAGCATCCGCGTGCACGTATGCTTCGTACACCGCTTCCACATTCAACTGCTGCACCAGCGATTTTTCCACAGCAACATCAGCTGCTGCACCAGCGTTCCCTTTCGCAGCAGCCTCCGCAGCAGCTTCCGTCCCCCTAGTTTGCTCATGCGCGTACCTAACTCCTTTTCACGCTCGACGGGCACCGCCTGTCGCTGCGGGGATTCACCAGCTTCCCCAGACAACAGCCCTTCACCTTCGCTGCCGACGGAAGCCTCTCGCTGAGTATACGCACCGACATCACCAAAGACCTCTTCCTGAAATAGTATGCGCCTCATCCGGCATTTCCGGCTCCTCGACGACAAATGAAATTAAAATGCACAGCGCGGCTCCGAGTACACATCTGTGAAATCCTTCACCCTCCACACCGTGGCGTAATAATTGCGGCTCTTGTGGCTGCCATGCCCCTTGAAGGGGGTCTTCCTGCGCGAAACCGCTTCCACCGCTTCCCAAAAACTATCTGGCACCACGTACGGCTGCGCCCTATAACCCGACCGCTGGATAAGTGTTGCACCCCAGCTAGGCGGACCCACATGTTCAAACCCGTGCCGCAGGAATACAGCATCGGTTGGTGGGATCACTATCGACCTCGCCAGTAAAAATGGAGTAATCGCACAAAACCACAGCGCACATTTTA